ACCCTTGATATAGAATGTGTGTCTGCAAATAACATCCTAATTTGATTGGAAATCCCAATTATTATGGGATACTTCAGATTGAAAGTTCTGAGAACTGGTAAAACTGTTGGCAGTGACAACAATATTTGACTTCCTGGTTGTTTGTTAAAGCAGTAAGAATTATAACTTTACAGGTAATCTTTATTTACAACTAGTCACTTAGCAACCAAAGTTACAACAGTTTCCCCCATCCCAGTTCTAAAGTTACAATGCCTGGTGTGCCCCGCCCCCAGTGGTCACATAACAGAATTTTGGGCACCTGGCAACCAGCCCACATTTGCTCCATGGTCATCTGACCACAATTAACAATTTTTTTTCTGGAAGCTGGTATTTATTTTTTGTTTCCATAAAAAAACACCCATAGCAAATATGGGTTTGCTTCATGAAGACAGCATTCATTTAACAACCAATGTGTTCACATAATGACTACTGCAAAAAAGGTCATGAAATGAGGTCTGGTCACATGATGACCAGCTTTATTAGTGTCAGAACTTATGACTGTAATTGCCAGTTATGATCATAAGTTGGAGACTTTTTAGCAATGGTATACTGCTTTAAGTAGCAAGAAATATTGAATAAATGAGGCAGGATAAGCAAATAAGAATAAAGTGAACAAATATGCAACTACTGTGTTATAAAGAGCCCATTGCATTTCTGCAACATAGAGAAGCAAACGCCATTTGGAGTTCAGAACCAACATATTTTAAAATTATTTTGTACCTCCGGGCATCCTGGTGTGTCTTGGATCTGCAGAAACATTTGATCACCTTCTATATGAACAAGTCTTGAATATAGATTTCCTGGAAAAATGAACATGAAAGTGAATATTGGTGGCAAGAAATAACCTAGAGAAATAGGACAGCTACTCGTCTCCTTTAGGTTGGCCCACAACACCCCAGAAGTGGGAAGCTCAGAAACCCAATAGTGCAGGGATCTTCAAACTTGACAGCTTTTTAAGACTTGTGGACTTCAACTGATTCCTCCTCCTGTCATATTAGCTCAGGATTTCTGGGAATTGAAGTCCATGAGTCTTAAACTTTCCAAGTTTGAAGACCCTTGCAGTAGTGATTGGGGTTCTTAAACCTACCTAAGAATATGACTGCCAACAATTGTACTGGCTTAATTACTCCCCATTTTGAGTTGTGGAACACCTGAAAACTGGTGGAAACCTTACACATGAAACATGTGACCAAGATTTCCTAAATTCCATCCAAGTCTTGGGGAAAGGGAAGGAAAGTCCTACCTTGGCTTACTTCAGATCACTGCCCTACCGCTGCAGCTCAACCCTCAAACCATTAAGTGCAGCCCCCAGCCCCCATAAACCTGCTTTCCAATTTATGCAGAAAAACCAATGTGGTGTAATGGAGGACTAAGCTTCAGAAGGGGATTATGGGGCTTTAGTAAGTAGTTTTCAGAGCCTTGTTTCTTCTGTCTGCTCTTTTCTAGATAGGAAAACATCTCCACTCCTAAGCTATCTAGAAGTCCCTAAAGGAAGGGGGCCAAAGCAGATTCCTTATGGCAGAAGTCTCCAAACTTGGCAGCTTTAAGACTTGTGGACTTCAACTTCTGGGAGTTGAAGTTCACAAGTTTTAAAGTTGCCAAGTTTAGGGACCCCTGCCTTATGGCATAGAGTAGGCGATCTCCTTACTCAGACCTCACAGCTGGCTTGTGGGAAGGGAAAATACTTAAGAATAAAACTCACCAGTATTGGGTTCATAGTCGCCGATAAACCTTTTGGTGAGGAACCGGACAATCATGGCTGGTGGGGGAAAAAAAAGAGAATATTTTGTTAATTGAAAACAGCTGGGGAAAAGGCTAATCAAGCCACCATTTTTAGCAAGCAGCATGCCTTCCCAGGTGGTGACTTGAGCTATGATGGCATCTGGATTAGGAAACCAAACAAAGATGCCTATGGAAGTGTGGAGGAATTTTCTGCTTTAACCCAAGAGTAAATGATGTTCTGCTTGAAAAGGAAGTCTTTAACCCACCCAACCAGCTCATAGCTCCTGTTCTCCCATCCCCAAAGTCCTTCCACAGAGTGTGGTGGCCTAGAGGTGGAGCCTCCTCACAATCAGGAGGCTATGAGTTTGACCCTAAGTAGAGGCTAGTATTTGAAATAGATTCTCCTGCTCGAGCAGGGGGTTGGACTAGATGACCTCCAAGGTCCCTTCCAACTCTTGTTCTATATGTTTTCTTTTTTCTTAAATTTTTATTAAACATAACAGTTAAAAACACTGAATGTGGTAAAGTTGTTTTGACATAACTTTTGGTCAGTATAAGTATATACATTCCTATATATATTTGTTCCTTTATATACACACACACACACACGTATATTTATTCATTCTTACATTACATCCTCCAACATCCTTAGTCTTATTTTCATCTCATACTCTTGTTTACCCTCTCAACAACTCTTTCCCATCTTAAGCCCTTCCTTTCTGCCCCTACCAATGGTAAAATCTATTCCAAATGGTATAATATTCTGATTTTTCATCTCTAAGGGTAGCCTATCCATTTCAGCACATATCAGAATTTTGCCTATTCATCCTCACTCGGTGTGTCTTTCTCCTTCCATTTCTGAGCAAATACCATTCTTGCCACAGTGATAACACATATAATCAAATATAGCTCTTTCTTATATCTTTTTTTGGTATAATTCCCAATCAGAAACATTCCGGGCTATGATCTCTTTTAAATCCCAACATTTCTTCCAGCCACTTCCCCGAGCAGGGGGTTGGACTAGGGGGTTGGACTAGACGACCTCCAAGGTCCCTGCCAACTCTGTTGTTCTATGTTTTCATTCGCTGGCTGATGGGCGTTTGCATTCCTGAATATCTGGACGGCATTGGGATGAAAACAGTAGACAGGACTTCATCTCTCAGGGTTTTTGATTCTTTTTTTCCTCTACCTTTTCCCGGCTTCCATGCTTCCCCCAAAGGGCCCTTGTTTGATTCTTTCTAGAGCAGACCGTCGTTTTTCATCTTCTCTCCTCTGCCCGCGCGCCCCGATCCCGATCCCCCGCGCGGGGATCCTTCCCCTTCGCTTGCCCCCACCCCAGATCCCCAGATCCCCGAGCAGCCGAACCGAGCCGCACCTGCCTTCCTCGGCACTTACCGCTCTTCCCCACGCCCACAGTTCCGAGCACAGCCAATTTCACCTCCTTGACCAGGAACTCGGACGGGCATTCTTGGATGGGCGCTAACAGATAGTTTTGGGACATGGTCGACGAGAACCGCATGGGAAAGGCGAGCCCTCCAGCCCCAGGAAAAGAAACACGGGATCAGCGACGGTTCCAGATGCCGTCAGAGCGCGGAGGCGAGGAACCGGAGCAGCAGCATCCAAGCGAAGCTCTCGCAGCGAGCAGCTGCCGGCGGAGCGCGCGGCGCTTTTAAAGTCGGCCCCCAAGTGCGACAAAGCGCCACCTCCGCCCCCGCCCCTCTTTGGGAAGGCCCGGCCCTGCGTGTACGCACAAGGGCGGCGAGCTGTACGCAAGCCCCGGTTCTCAGTGCCCAGCAGCCCTAGACAATAGAAATAGCTGGCGATGGTCAAGAGAGAGCGGGCGGGTTTATGGGGACAGCGACAGCGACAATCGCCCGCCCAAGGATTTCACCGGCGCCTCGTAAAAGCCGGGCTTTATTTTTTTACGATATATTTGGGTTGGCTTCCGGTGGAGGGGCTGAAGGGGCTCTCCTTCCGAAACCCACAAATGATTTTTCCCTTTTCCATTGCTATGAAATGGGTGGGATCGCACCCTCGGGCCGTTTAGGTTCTCCCGTGTGGTTCTCCTCTCGCTCCCCAATTCACATGAATGAATGATTGATTGATTGATTGATTGATTGAATGAATGAATTAATGAACGAACGAACGAACGAATGAATCTCGGCCCGTTTTGTTCACGCGTTCTGTTGCTCATCTGTGGGGACACCACTGGTAATGTATGTTCTGTCATAGATTTCACCCGACTTTTTTTTTAAAAAAAAAGGAGAGAGAAGGTGTAGCTTTCTTTGGGACGATTCTTCAATCTTTTACAAGAAGAGTGTCTTTTGCCAAGTGCAAAGATGTGTGTCACACAGGGAGCCTTCCAAACGTTTCATTTCCACCTTTTCCCTAAATTCCCTGAGAGTCTGAATAGCACAAAGCTTGCATTGCCATTGCCGTTGTACCTCAACATTGCAAATAGTGTAATTGCCATGGAAACAATAGTAGGCATGGCTTTAAAAGGCCTTGGGGTGTGCGTGTGTGGAAAGAAGAGAGGATACTCAGAATACCATTTGTATACAAATTAAAAGCCTAGTAATGCATTCATGAGAGGAGAATCTTACTACAGTGACCAAAATTGAAGGTGATTCACAAAAAGCATTTTTCTAGCACCTACTGGCAAAACCTTATCAAATGGATTCCAAAAGGAATCATGTGTATTGGGATGGGACACTCCCTGTTAATTTAATTTATACATATGAAGACCATATTTTCTTGGGTAAAAATAAAAGATAAACTTGAAAGGGGCAAATTTGAAAGAGGTTCATTCAAATTTTTTTAAAAAAGGTTTATAACTTAGTTTTATAAAAGAAAAATCCAGATGAAGAAACATAAAAACATTCTAATGAAAATATCTAAAATCAAACTGCATATGTACATTTATTTTTAAAAAGACAATTCAGTTTCCATGCTTTTCACATGAATGTGAAAGCCTAAATACATTATTAAGTGGCACCATTTATTTGGTAAAAATCAAATGACAAAAATAAAGGACAAAAGTGAGTTTTTGAAAAATAAATAAATCTAAAAGACACTCTTCTGAATAAAGAGCCATCCTTTATAATAAAAGACACATAGTCAATGTAATTATAAGCCACCTGACTCCTAAGTGACCCTGGCTGGGTTACAATTAAAATACCAAATCATTCAGAATACAATTAGCCAGATGAGTAATAAAATGGATAATTAAAACATTATTTTAAAACCCTGCTTGTAGTTGATTGTGGTATCAGGTGAAGTGATACCAGAAGTTAAGCTGACTGAACAGTTACAACATTGAATTCTGATACAGTGCAGCAAATGTGCCAATTCATATCATCTTTGTTGTGAGTCTGTTGATCCTGTATGTGGCATAGAGTGATGGCATAGAGTTATTGCTGGCACTTTCTTGAAATGACGGGCATTTGACCTTTCTCTCCTCTCTTGTTTGCAGAATCTTCTGGTAGGGTGTTTGTCCATTTCTGCAAAGTATATCCCATCTGATCCACAGAAGTACATTGCTTGATTCAAAAGATATGTGTAACACTCCAGTTGATGAAAGTTGGGAAAAACACAATTACCTTTCTCCTATTTGTAACTTCTTCGCATCTTGGCATGATCATGTGGCAAAGTATCTGATGGAGAGAGGAAACTGCCATTAAAATCTGGTTCAGATGTCCATGTTGAATTTATAAAATGGGAGTTTTCTTTGACTTGTAGCCTCTTTGAGGAGATAGTGTTTCAATCAAAAATCCTGAAGAGAGCAGCCCCAACCATTTGAAGAGTAACTGTGGTCAGCTTCACACATACTAAGCCATGATACATATGTTGCATGAACACAGCCTTTTGGCTTGCAAAATTGGTTTAAGCCACTAGGTGAAATCCAACCAATCCTATGCTATTTGTATCTGGCAAAGAAAGCAATATCCCGATTTACTTTTGGCTGAAGCAACATGTCATCTAAGGTAGTGAGTTAATAAGACCACACACAGACATCACCTTATACAAATCAGCCTTGGCTTAAGATCACAATTGAGCCCGACATTTCTGTTGCTAAGCAAGACAGTTATATGTGAGTTTTGCCCCATTTTACGACTTTCCTTGTCACAGTGAATCACTGCAGTTGTTAAATTAGTAACATGTTTGTTAAGTGAATCTGGCTTCCCCATTACTACCCTTTGGCTTAACTTGGGAGTCCCTCAACGCTGTTACAAAGCTTAATAACAGTACAGTGATTAGAACTGTCTGAAATGAAATTAGTCTTATGTGCACTAGATTATTTTGAGTCATCCTCTGACAGAAGTTACAGAGGGCTATGAAAGGTTGAAAATCTTGATGATTGAAATTCTATCTAGACCAAGAAAACCTAGAACTATGCCGCCTTCAGTCCAATCTAAGCATAGTATATAAAATCATACATTGCAATGTCCTACCTGTCAATGAATACTTCAGTTTCAACCATAAGAATACAAGAGCACACAATAGATACAAGCTCATGGTTAACCACACCAAACTTGATTGCCGGAAATATGACTTCAGCAACAGAGTGGTCAATGTCTGGAATACTCTACCTGACTCTGTGGTTTCTTTCCCAAACCCCAAAAACTTTAACCTTAGACTGTCTACTATTGACCTCACCCCTTTCCTAAGAGGCTTGTAGGGGGCGTGCATAAGCGCACCAACATGCCTACCGTCCCTGTCCTATTGTTTCTTTTTATTTTTCTTATATGTATCCATTTCATGTATTCATAACTATTTTTATACTTATACCTGTTATCTTGTAATCGCTTGACAAAATACATACATACATACATACATACATACATACATAAATGTTGAGTAAAAACAGAGAAGAAGATGGCCAACAATAAGGTGGATGGACTCAGTAATAGTTATGATGGGTACAGGTGGTCCTTGGCTTACAATGACAACTGAGCCCAAAATTTATGTTGCTAAGTGAGATATTTGTTAAAAGTTTTAAGTTTTGCCCCATTGTACGATCTTTCTTGCTACAATTGTCAAGTGAATCATTGCAGTTGTTAAGTAAGAATCTGGTTTCCCCGTTGATTGTGCTTGTCAGAAGATTGCAAAAAGCTGATCACATGACCCCAGGATCTTGCAATTGTCAAGCATCCAAACACAGATCATGTGATCATGGGGAATGCTGCAATGATTGTGTGAAAAACAGTCACAAGTCACTTTTTTCAGTGCCTTTGTAACTTTGAACAGTCACTAAATGAACTGCTGTAAGTTGAAGACTACTGTACATTGTTGGAAGCTCTGAAGGACCAGATCCAGTTAGAAGCAGTTTGTCATGTAGAAAATATAAATGTGTGGTCACTAAAGATCAACAACTTGATGGCCCATAATCATATTGCTTTCATTTTATAATAAATCTATCACAAGAGATATATCACATGGCTAATCATCACTGCCCAAGCTAATTTTTTTTTTGCTGAAGGATTAAAATGACGAATCACATTTTCTCCTATGAATGAAGATAATAAGCACACATCCAATCATAATAAGTGAGGCTATCGCTCTCCAGAGAAATGCACTTCGTAGCAGCAAATTTCACTGAAATTTTCAGGAAATGTAGATCTAAGATGGATGGAGCTATCATAATATCAATCTACATCAAACATCATTATCCACAGAGACTCGTATTCAGAGAGGCACCCTAATCAGCTCCTGTTCCAAATTGTTTCAATATGAACGCAGTGTTTGGCAATGGAAATCATGATAGTAGGCTGCAAATGTGGGATGTATTAGCAGTTGCCAAAGAAATGGGGCTGGGGTGGGAGAAATCTCTAGAGACAGAGAAGAAAACTCTTCAACAGAATGCGGTATGAAATGTTCACATTCCCGATTCTAATGAGTCACCTGAGTCCTCTTCTCCGGCACTTCTAGAGTTATTTTCCTGTATCTGGTTTTGCTCTCCAGAAATTAGTATTGCATGGCTACTGAAATACTAATTTTCATCGGGCTAATCAGAAGTATAACAACCTTTTTCAGCCTAAGGGCCCCATTTTGCAAAGTATGATTGATGATAAAGATCCAGACTTTTATGGATGTCTAAGTCTAGGGTTATTCATCTGGCACAGAATATGAGAACAGTTAAAATATTTGAGTTCCCACCACGTCAAGTTTTCATGCTCATGTGCCATCCTACTTTCCTTTGCTCTCCTGCCTCTTTCTACCACTTTCAGATCAAAACCTAAACCTAAACCTAAAACTGGGGGTTCTTATTGGGTTCATGCTCTTGGACTGCTCAGTCACTCATAGTTCCAGTGTGTCTGTCCCAAAAGCAGAGCCAGCAATGAAGTTATTGCACAGTATGGTTTTATTATTCCATTTTGTTATTTTTATATGTTTATAAAATGGTTACAGAACATTTTCTGGCTGGATGATAGTAGCCCATAACAGTGTTTCTTAACTTTAACAACTTTAAGATGTGTGGATTTCAACTCCCAGAATTCTCCAGCATGAGGAATTCTGGAAGTT